TAACAATGAATATACAAATCATATTTCCAAACAAGTATTATCATTTTGGGCTTGCAAATGGAATAATCTCATATGTTCAAAACGGTATAATTTAGAAAATGAATTATGGTGAAAGATGATGAGTTGCCATTAGATAATAGTAGTTCAAGTCAATTCTATTACATACATAAGGCTTTTTAGTGAATTTATTTTCATTATTGAAATTTACCGTGGTTATGAAAAACCAAAAGAATATAATGAGTTCTTGGATAGTTCTATTAATGGCGCTAAGGTCTAACATAAATTGGTAAAAAAATAAATAATTTTATAAAATCAGATAAAATTTTTAGGACCTTTGCTGGTTGTCTAAACGCTCCTTTATCATCTAAACTAAAGGTCACTATGGTTATTTTTCTTTTTCAAGGTGTTTTGAAAAAGAAGAATATATAAAAAACTATATTTGCTATCCTTATCATGCGATTGAAAGTCGAAAGAAAGATCTTTTTTGTTATACAATAAACTTAGTGAAGAACATTGTAAAGAAAAATTACCTAATTTAATTCAAATTTTCAATTTTATTTTGCTAATTCTATACCTAAAGACTATATTCATATGGTGATTTAGGGGCTATGTGTAAACTAATACAATTTTGGTTAAAAAATACTCTTGATTCATGTAGTTGCTTTCCGTTCGACAATCTTATAAAGATTCTTAGAAGTATATTAAAGAAATATAAAAGAAAAACACTGGAACAATTGGTAAGGCGCTATAATGAGAAAATTATAAACAACATTTTTATTGATGAGCTTTTTAATATTATATTTAAATATAACCAAAACATGGGACCTTTATAAACCAAATATCAATCCCCCAATATAAAGAAATAACTTTAAATAACTATTTTTGTATTAATGTTCCTAAACTATCCCATAGATCCCATAATATTTTTATTTCACTAAATACGACTATTTAAACTGCAAAAAAATTTAAAATCGATGTTTATTTTAAATAAAATATTTTAGAATTAAATTAAAACTATAAAAAAACAAATTCTAAGAAAATTATGAAAAATAATGTGAATTACAAGAAACAATAGTAAATTCTTACTGGGTGACAATATCCTTATAACTTTCTCATGTTTAAGCGCTAAAAACTTTAAAATTAACTAAAAGTTTTAAATATTTAATTTTAATGGACAATTAAAATTATTGAATAATTTATTTATAATAACGTTTTCTACTCTTCAGTGCTCAAAATTAAAGCGTCCCATCGGAATTTAATGATTTAATAAAGTTTTTTTCCTCAGTATATCCGGGTCCGTATGCACACACGAGCAGTGTTTAGACGAATAGCGTCGTCCGAACAATATTTTGAAACGTATATTCTAAAAGAGGTGCCCAATCGTGTGGGTGCGGTTACGGTTCAACTACAATTTTATGTACGGGTTTTGGACGACCGGCAGCGTCGTCCATCCAGTTTAATTGCTATAACATTGTCAAAAATAAACAAATCAAAATAATTGTTTTTTTATATAGAAACCTTATGTATTGCTCTTTCATTTGATATAAATGGTTGCTGCATCGGTATTAGATGCAGTCTATTGTGTTCGGGAACGAAGTTCGAACCCCAATCATCAAAATGACTTTTTTTGTATTTTTTCTTAATTCTATTAAAAAGGAGTTANTTTTTTGTATTTTTTATTAATTCTATTAAAAAGGAGTTAATTAAGCTTTTGGAACAATCCACTAATTTCTTAATATTAAACATTATGTAGCGTTTCTTATGATTGTGATTATAAACACTGTCAGATATCATATTTACTTGTCTCAACTATGCCATGTCCATACTGTGCCATGATCCCACTGTGCTACCGTTTTTTTCATAATACATTTCACCGTACTACGCATTGCAACATACGTTATATTATATGCATGAACACAACCACTTATCAAATTAAATTTTTTAGCTTCGATGCGAAGCTGTAAAGGTATTGGTTTTACTATGATGTGTTTTTTTTTTTTTTGTTGTCTGTTAACACTTTTTCTCAGCTCTCACCGAACGGATTTCTTTCAACGACACGACAAAAGATCACAAATTGTATCTAGTCAAAGACATTACCCTTAAAAATTGAAAATATTTCCCTCGTTCCCCTTAAATGGGGGAAACCTACAAAAAAATTACAAATTTAAAAATCGCTAATTTTCGAAATTTTTTCAATTCTTTTTACATAAACTGCCATAATTTAAAAAAATTAACATATTAATATAATTTTTTTTTTATAGATGCACGATATTATTACCTATCATTTGGTATATTGTTTTTATAAAATTTATAAAAACAATTTAATCTAACCCCTTATCTGCCCACAGGGGGGGATTTAAAATTACAACTTTTTCAACTTAACTTTTGAAAGTGTTCTGGAAGGTATGACACTTTTATTTATATTTTAAATTAAAGCTATGTAATATACATTATCATGGAAAAAAAAATGTTGTGCTTTATTTTGTCTTCGTTGTGAAAATGGCTATCAAATGCTATTTTTATGTGAAAATTCTCAATTTTATTTTTTACATTTTTAACTTTATAATGCTATAACTTATTGAAAAGTGTATGAATCAACACAATTTTTTTATGAGAAATAATATTTTTAATAATCCCTTTTTTATTCGACATACTTTATCTTTATCGGGATATTGAAAAGGAACTAGCAGATCATGTATTTTTTGGAATAATTTTGGAATAATACACCAATTTTTTTTAAATTAAACATTATCTAAAGATTTGCATCGAAGCGTTTTATTTGATAGTGATTTTAATGAATAAAATATTTTAAATTTTTACAGGAGGTTTTTGTAAGTATGTCTGAGATGTGATAAAAATTTAATTTAAAATTTGATTGTGTACCATAAAAATATGTATTTTGATAATAATTTTTCATTATTTAGTAGATCCTATTGTAGTATTTTTAAGAAACACAAAACATTCATCTCAAATCGTCTTGAAGAAATAAAATTGAATATTATTCAAAAATATCCTTATTTTAAAGTGATAACAGACAAGAGATCTGGGGATTAACCATCAGCCCTCTCACAATATCATCTTAATGACGATGGACAAGAAAATTTTAATGTGACTGCATCAGGGGACTCGGATTCCACGGTGCTGGTGGTTGAGGGTGGGCTGCACCTACCACATGTCGTTTGGATCAATTGAATACACGTCAAATGTAAAAGTATTGAGGCAGGCTCTTGCAGCCAACTAAAGGGTTGTTACTGCGACTGCAGGAAGTGGTGGTGACCAAGCCACTTCCACCGGTGAAATAAACGGGAGGCCATTGGTATCAGATAAAGTGAATTTTGGATTCGATCTGAATGCGGCCACCTCTCCAGATGTGCTAGCAAAGTCCTCCATTGCGGAGAGGCTACTGAGCATGTCTAGGAGTGGTTCACCTAGGACGGTATCCTCGAGTAAGGTACCTGTGGTAATAGACGATGTGGTAGTAGATGAGTTTGGGTAGGAAAATTCCCTTCATCCCAAACTAATGCAGATCTACCCAACACCCGACATCTCCGTTATCACCTTTGAGGACACCACAACCAGCGTGGCCGTCCTTATGCCGATGACACATGCGCCGGTACTGACTAAGAAACCAAAGCTGGTGGCCCTTTCGACAGTTGATTTTTCAACCCCGACGGGACACCAAAGATTGCGAAGAGTGCTATCATCAGGGTTGGACCTTGCCAGGGACTAGGCGGGACATCTGGTGATCATGATGGGGGTGTATACCCCGCACTAATGCGTAAAAGTTTTATCTGTTCAGGTGATGGACCATGGCCTCACAATCGCGGACATCGAGTCGGGCGATGGTTACGTGGTAGCGAGGATTGACGACATCAACGTCTTGAGCTGCTACGCGCCAGCCAGCTTACCGATCGCCGTACTTCTCGAGTCCGTCTCCCTCTGCCAAAGGTCGTGAAGGTCCGGGCGCCGCGTAATGGTCACGGGGACTTGTGGTCAGGAATATTAACGTCTACTCACTGGTTTGGGGATCGGCTGGCCCCAATCAGCGTGGCGAAGACCTGTTGGACTTGAAACCATCCCTCATGCTGGTCTCGGCCAACAGGAGCTTCACCCCGACGTTTGAGGATCAGGAATAGAGCTCTGTGGTGGACGTTACACTGGTTTCCCCGTCGCTGCACCCGTATGTGAACGGTTGGTCGGTTCTCCCGTACAGATAAAACCTCATCGACCATCGCAGTACCGGTTTCGGCTGGAGCCTTGGGATTTGTGTTTTTTTTTTAATGTTTGTGAGTTATTTTTCCAACACTCCGAAACAGTTTCTATCCTGGGAGACGGATAACAGGGTGTCCACACCATATTGGGAATTAGATAATAATTAATTTCGGGTTTATTCACAACATGGTGGTATAAGTTATATTACGACGTTGGCCGACCTGAAATAATACCTTATAGTATTTCCAGGGTAGCCAACAATTAGTTGACCGTGAAAAAAAAAACAGGAAAGTTGTTGATCAAGACATGTTTTCAAATAATAATATCAGATATTAGAATGCATTCCGATTTTAAACTTTCTTGGTTAATTTAGCTATAAATAATTTTTAATCTATTAGTTCATCATTATGTTTTAAGACTATTAATAAAAAATTGATACAAGTTAAAATAGCCTTAATAACAACTGTTAAAAAGTATTTCTTTTTTATTTAATAAAATTAATTTTTTCGTCTAGAATTAGATTTATTATATTGTATTATTATTCAAATAATGAACTTTGTTACAATTTATTTCTAATCTTATGCAGGTATTAATCTATTATTAAATAAAAGTATGGACATATAAATTATTTTGAGAGTAGCTAGAAAATTTTTGTTTATTTAAAGCACATAGTATTAAAACATAATATCCCTACTCCTACTATTAAACGCAAATAAATTAATTTTGTTCATCTACACAAGTGTACGCAGTTGAAATTATTGCTAGTTTCTTTATTTTGGTATGAAAACAAAAATTGATTAATATTGAAATAAAAATTGTATGACAATAATTTTTTTATTAATAAAAAATCGATTCATAAACTTTTTGAAAATGAAAATCTCAATTATACTTAATATTCAAGTGTACTTGTATATATTTATCACTTTTTGGAATACTGAAGGAACACCTCATAAAAAAGCACACGTCGATATAATAACGAAGTTACTACATCAACCCGGATGGAAAAATATAAATGATGTCGAGTATATTATTTACAGGCGCAATGTGTTTACATTGAACGATGTGATTAATAAACCTGTAACATTAAATAACTGTGACAATATTATACGTAATGCTACAATATTCCTTGGATGTTCTTACGCTAATGATTTACATACAATATTCTATACATTTTACAATTTTCAAGAATATTGTTTCATGCTACTTAATTCTGGTAAAATTAGTGCACACAATTGTACAGTCAAAATTTTAGAAAAAATGATTGAATTTGTCACGCTGGCAAAATTTATGAAAGGAGCATTATAATGTATAGAAAAATATCACAAAAGCCCTTTGAACACCCTAATAAACAATCTATTTCCTTTAAATAAAGTTCTTACAAATTTACAGAAAAATGAATCGTTGAAGAAATTGATTATATTGGAAAACAATAAGGAGTCAATTAAAACTGCGTTAATAACTATCACGAATATTTTACAAAAAAACGATTATGTACTCAAAAAAAAATTATCATTATGTAAAATAAAACAAATAGATTTGAGTTCTTTGTGGAATTTTTGGATAAACGAATTTGTAACACTGAACAGTCAAAGAAAAGACGAAGAACTTATCATTTTTCTAAGTGATAAAATGAGCAATTTATTTCAAAGGATAATCTGGAATAAGTATGATACACTTGGATTTAAGTATGATTCGAACACAAGTGAAACATTTTTACCTGCCCTATCTCCAACGAATGACAAGCAAGGTATAACTTTATAAGCAGTATAACATTTTTTTTGAAATTGTTTAATTATTAACATATTTAGATATCGCAGAAAATTCTTCTAAAAATTTGATACAACACACCAATGAAGAAGATTTGTTAGAAAATGTACAACTAGAATGTAAAGTTTTCATGCGACACTATTATACATTTTACTTTAATAAAATAATTTAAAATACACTAAACAATTGTTATTATATTTTTAGATATCGCAGAGAATTCTTCTAAAAATATGATACAACCCACCAATGAAGAATATTTTATGGAAAATGTAGAACAAGAATGTAAGGTTTTAATGCATCACTATTATACAGTTTACTTTAATAAATTTAATTTTAAATAGACTAAAGAATTGTTATAATATTTTTAGATATTGCACAAAGTCCTTCTATAAGTTTAATAAGAAATAACAATGATATAGATGATCTTGAAGTAATGCTTCAAGAATGTATAAATTGTATTATCTATTACTGAATTTTTATTATTAGTATAATTAACTTTTAGTTAAACTAACAAACAAATACATTTTTTTTTTTTGATTATACACTATTTAAATTAAATTTTAATTTAATATGTGATAAAATGTCATTGAATAGAATATGGGTAAGTTATGTGGATTAAAGAGTATTAATAATTTTGAACCATAACTAATTACTTAAATGAAATTTATTTTAAGTAGCTAAATAAGATCAAACATATAGATATTATTATTTTGTTAACATATTTAGATATCGCAGAAAATTCTTCTAAAAATTTGATACAACACACCAATGAAAAAGATTTGTTAGAAAATGTACAACAAGAATGTAAGGTTTTGATACGTCACTTTAATACACTTTTTTTTAATAAAATTAATTTTAAATAGACTAAGCAATTGTTATAATATTTTTAGATATTGCACAAAATCCTTCTAAAAATTTGATACAACACAACAAGGATGAAGATTTGATGGAAAATATACAACAAGAATGTAAGGTTTTCATGCACCACTATTATATATTTTAATTTAATAAAATTAATTTTTAATGGATTAAACAATTGTTATTATATTTTTAGATATCGCAGAAAATTCTTCTAAAAATTTGATACAACCCACCAATGAAGAATATTTGATGGAAAATGTAGAACAAGAATGTAAAATTGAATGCGTCACTATTATAAAATTTACTTTAATAAAATTAATTTTAAATAGACTAAACAATTGTTATATTTTTTTTAGATATTGCAAAAAGTCCTTCTATAAATTTATTAAGAAATAACAATGATATAAATGAGCTTGAAGAGATGCTGCAAGAATGTAAAAATTGAATTATCTACTACTTAATATTTATTTGTAGTATAATTAACTTTTAGTGAAACTAACAAACAAATTTTTTTTTTTTTGATTATTCACTATTATAAACTAAATTTTAGTTTAAATGAATGTAAAAAAGATTTAAACATTTTTAAGGTATATTAAGAGTCCTAACAGTGTCTTTATATAGTATAGTTAGATCTATTCGAATATAATGTCAGTATTAAAAGTTTTAAATCATAACTAGATTACTTTAATGAAATTTATTTTAAGTAGCTAAATAAAATCAAACATATTTGATATTATTATTTAGTTAAAATATTTAGATATCGCTGTAAATTCTTCTAAAAATTTGATACAACCCACCAATGAAGAAGATTTGATGGAAAATATACAACAAGAATGTAAGGTTTTCATGCACCACTATTATATATTTTACTTTAATAAAATTAATTTTTAATGGATTAAACAATTGTTATTATGACAATTGTTTAAACCATGTGGGAAACATTTTTACCTGCCTAGCTCAAATGTATGACAAGCAAGGTATAACTTTTTAAGCAATACAATTTTTTTTTGAAATTGTTTAATTGTTAACATATTTAGATATCGCAGAAAATTCTTCTAAAAACGTGTTATTTTTGTATAATTACCTTTTAGTGAATATAACAAACAAATTGATTTTTTCTTTTTGATAATAAATTAAAGTTTGAAATAGATTTTAAAAATTTTAAAGTATACTTAGGAGTCCTAAAAGTTGGTTATACTGTTCCTAAATAGATATTATTATTTTGTTAACATATTTAGATATCGCAGAAAATTCTCCTAAAAATTTGATACAACACACCAATGAAGAAGATTTGTTAGAAAATGTACAACAAGAATGTAAGGTTTTGATATGTCACTATAATACAATTTATTTTAATAAAATTAATTTTAAAGAGACTAAAAAATTGTTATTATACTTTTAGATATCGCACAAAATTCCTCTAAAAATTTGATACAACCCACCAATGAAGAAGATTTGATGGAAAATGTACAACAAGAATGTAAGGTTTTTATTCGTCGCTATTATACCTTTATTTTTAATAAAATGGTTTTTAAAGTGATTGAACAATTCTTATTATATGTTTAGATATTGCACAAAATTCTTCTAAGAATTTGGTACGAAATAACATTGATATAGATGAGCTTGAAGAATTGCTATAAGAATGTAAAATTGTATTATCTACTACTGAATATTTATTGTTAGTTAAATAAATTTTTAGTGAAGCTATCAAACTAATTCATTTTATTTTTTGATTATATGCTATTATAAATTCATTTTTAAATTAAATGAGTTTGAGATATCTTTAAAAATTGTTAAGGTATACCTAGAGTTCTAACATTTTTTCATGTTTTTCTTAAGCAGAGAAATGCTGTCTCTATATAGTATAGTTAGATCTAATCGTCTACAATGTCATTATTACTCAGAACGACTTGTTATTTTCAATGATCACACTTATCATTTCTCAAATTACTCCATGGCTTATAATTTTTTTTTTTTGTCATTGAATGGAATATGGGAAAATTATGAGAATTAAACAGAATTAAAAATTTTAAGCCAGAACTAGTTTACTTTATTGAAGTTTATTTGAAGTAGCTAAATAAGATGAACAATTAAAATTATTAATATTTCATGTGTAATAGCAATGGCGGCTCGTAGCTTAGACGACGGGACGATCGCACTCTCTACTAAAATGAATTTAAAGAATAAAATTAATTGTTTATTCATAATTATTATTAAAAATTCAAATTTTTAAATAATAAAATACAGTGGAACCTGGTAATCCGACAAGCGTTTTGCTGGTCAGTGTCGAACTATCGAATTTGTCGGATTATAGAGTATTTCCTAAGACCTCTTATAGTCCGGAACTTTTAACAAAAGGGTACTTTATATAAATAAATAGTCAAAAAATGAATAAAAATCATGATATGAATTTAAGCATGAAAATATTTATCAAATGTTTTTTGCTTAAAATTATTAAAACGCGAGACAAATGCTCTGTTCCTCAGTCTTCTTAAAAGTAATAGTTCGTTGTAGGATACACCATTCTCCTCAGCCCATTGCAAACCCAGTTCAAAGGCGTTAGATGCATCTTGTGCTATCACTTGCGGAGTATTTGTAATTATGTCGTCGTCATCTTCTGATTTAAGGTTGTATAACTAGATATCTCTTTTATAATCTCATTGTCAGACATTTCATAAAAAATATTTTCCTCCTTACATTCCAGGGTACCAGATATCCAAATCTTGCGATCTTATCTTTGTTTCAGCAGCAACTTTCTCTATTACTCCCGAAGTTACACTGATTTGTGGATCGTTGACTATATCCGTCTGGTGACTATATCCGGACATAACTTTTTCCAAGATGATGAAATAGTTAACAAAGGTAATGCATTCCACGATTGACAAAGAGCAAAAACCAATTCTTTCATATTGAATTCTTTTAAAGTTTTTTCTATTGGCTGATCTTTTGATACAGCTCTCAAAAGTTAATTTTTCTTATAATCTTGCTTGACAAACTAAATGATATGCTAATCCATTGGTTGAATCAGTGCAGTTTAGTTTGGTGGAAGAAACATCGCAGTGATGCAATTATCCTCAGTTGTCAGTTCTTCTTCAGACGGATGATTCAGAGCGTTATCAATAAGCAATAACGCTTTTTGTGGAAAATTATGATTTGTGAACTATTTTTTAACTTCTGGTATAAAGCATTCATCAAACCACTTCTTGTAAAGTTCTTTTGTCATCCACGCACTTTTTTGACCATAATAATGTACAGGCAAATCAATGTTTTTGAATGCGCTTGTGTACCCGCAGAATTTGAACATGGTAGTATGGTAACACGCTCTTTACTTACTTTTCGCCCAGGTACGGATTTTTCGTTATAGAAAACAACAGTTTTGTTTGGTACCACACGCCAAGTAAACAGTAAACAATGAATCTAACTTTGAGCACAATAGTGATGGCACAATTGTAACCTGTTCAATCATGAATCATCTACATTAGTGAAGATTGTAAAAAAAAAATACCCAATAATAATAGACATGTCGGATTACATGGGGCGCCGGATTAACCAGTGTCTGGATTACTGGGGGTCCACTGTAAGTTTTAAGAATGTATTATTTATTGAAAATTGTATATATTCATTTCAAGTTAGAACTAATATAAATAGGGATTTTAAGGCTAATATGTTGTTGGTAACAGACGTAAAAAATCTCATTGACGAATATGATTGGTTATGATAAATCAGACACATGATATTGCCATGGGAAGGGATGAAAAACTTTTATGATAAAAATCATCATGGTAGCTGTGCCTCCATACCACAGTTCTTTTTTGTTTGTATTATTATACCATGATGTTAATATGAACTATGAGATATACATAAATTGTTTTTTTTTTATTATGCCTAGTTAAAATATTTTATTTATTTTAGAATAGTACATCGCTGAATTTACCTACAAAATATAATAACCAATGCTTAAAATTTAATCTTCAAAATTTGTAGGATTAATGTTTATACCAGTTCGGTTGATATGTGATTAATTTAACGACATCCCCCGTATATTTTTCACAAGATAAAGAAAAATAACTCTAATATTTATCTTTACAGAAAATTTTTTCATTAAATTAATATATGATTGTCATGGAGTACGGTTGTTCTTATTTAGGTGTTACTATTTTTTGAAAAATGGATATTTATTGTTAATGCCACAAATTTTTACACTTACGCAACTGGTCTGTCATGGTTTTTTTGAACAACTAATTTTTATATTAAATTTATGGAAAATTTTGCAAATTGTAAAGTTCCAAATAAACAAATTCTCATCGAATAAATACTTTCGAAGAAATACTTGTCTCAACTATGTCGTGTACCCAATATGTCCTTTTATTATTTAAATATTATTTATCCTCAATATTGGAGATATGTTTTTTTTTTCTAAGATGTTATTCAATAGATATTACGTAACATGAGCATTAATTTGACATATGTTTAAAGTATGCAGTATTTTCGGAACATTTTCAAAAAATAAGTTGAAAATTATGAGTTTTGTAAAAAGTTGCTATCTTGAATCCTCTCTTGTGGGTAAGAAAAGTGTCAAAATTTTAAAAATATTATATCAAATAATAGGGAATTACTTAAAGTATCAATAAAAATTAAAAATATTTTGATTTGTTTATTTTTCAATAAGTTATAGCAATTTTTTAGAAAAAATTTTTACCGATTGTAAAAATCGTAATTTTTTTGAGATTTTAACCATTTACGCGTGAAAAATATTTAATTTTTGAGAGTTATTTCTTCAACAAGATACAATNAGGGAAAAATGTCGAGATTTACCGATTGTAAATATCGTAATTTTTTTGAGATTTTAACCATTTACGCGTGAAAAATATTTAATTTTTGAGAGTTATTTCTTCAACAAGATACAATTTTTGATAATTTGTTGTATTTTTGAGAAAAATTTGTTCAATAAGAGCTGAACAAAAGTAATGAAAGACACAAAAAAAAAAAAAATTGGTCTAGGAATTATTCTATAAGTTATTCTGAACATATCACCAGACAGAACAAATTTTCTTTAATTGTCTAGTAATGTGTTATTATCGAAATTTTAAAATTAGGGAGATTAACGGAATTGATCCTCTTTATTGGGAGAAATATTTCTTTGTTACTTTATAATTCTGTAACAAAATTGCACAAACTTAGAAATCATCAAAGTGGCTCAAACAAAATGTATATATTCATATAATTACCAGTCCTATATATCACTAATAAGAAAAAAATTTAAAAATGTTGTTTTTTATTTTTGTTAAACATTTTAAATAGTCATTTTTTGTCCTTTTCTTTAAAAAATTTAAATGAGTCGATAAGTTATCGACTATAACATCATTACTTAGAGTGGGTAAATAGTAGTGATGGGCATTTTTGAATATTTAAACTATCGAATAGTATTCGATAGTTTTTTAAAACTATTGAATAACTATTCGAATAGTTCCAATAGTGGACAACTATCGAATAACTCGATAGTTACTATTTGATATTTTCCATCACTAGTTAATAGCGTGGGTGAGTACATTTCGTATTATAAATGAATCGCTAACTGCAGAAAGCGGACACGTCCACTTTTTACAATTGATAGGAAATGACAAAAAATTGAATATTTATTGGAATAATAAAGATATATTATAAGAACTTTGCATTATTTTTGTACAGTATATCTCAATATATCAACCTAATTACAAAAAAAAGGTCCTATAGATTTATTTTAATTAATTGTTTAAAGTCTAGGACATGTCTTTTTTCTGCATAGTAAACATAGTAAACATGAACTATTTGAACCATAATAACAGTTTATTTACGTTTTTATGAAATATTATATTTTTTTAGAACAAAAGTATAGTAGATTTATCATTCCCTTTACATTAATTATGAATGTATCACTAAATAACAATATTCATTTGCTTAAGTACATTTATAATATTTTAGCTATCAATTTTTACTATCGATTAGGAGCAAAATGTCAACTAATTCAATTAAAAGTACTAATATGATAATAATAAAAACAAAAATTATTTTATTTATCTAAATTAGTGTATATTATTCCATAAGATAGCATACAGATATTAGTTTCTTTAATTGTCTAGATAAGATACAAGTTTACTATTCATTATATAAATATTATATAAAGATACTGCACATAACTGTAAATAATAAACTAACAAGTTAAATGCTAGATTTTGACTAATTTTACAATAACTAGTTATATCCTGTTGAAATAATATTTTTTTATTTGATATTTTTTTATTGTATGTTATTTGTTCAATGATCAATAGATACCAAAGAAGAAAGAGGTGGCCTTTCTGAATCCTATACATACGACAATTTTGATTTCATGATATTACTTAGGGAACGCAAAAAAACTTTTGATGAATACGAGACAAAATTTGTACTACGCACATGTATGTATCAAATAGATGATGAAGACTGTATGACTACATGCAAAGATTGTTTAAAACAATTACTAAATTTCCTCAAAAATAATCAAGAAGTAATTTTTTTTTATTAATGTAAAGATTTAGTAATTTCATAAAATTAAATATTAAATTTTGAATTTTTTTTTTCTCTTATTTTTATATCTATTTTCACATAAATTAATTATTTTATTACAGCCCTCGTAAATTTTGGGTCATTTCTATATTTAATGCAAACATATTTTGTGGGTTTCA